ATATATATATATATATATATATATATATATATATATATATATATATACAGATAGATGGAGTAAAAATAGGAAAGCATATCTGTAAATATAACATTTGTTAGTCTAAAATAGTTTTGAATAATTTTAAAATAGTATAACAGCTGAACCAAATAGTTTCAGAATGCCATCTTTGTGTGTTCTTGCTGTTTAGACTTACATTGGAAGAGATTCTGTATGGCGGGGAACATTGGTAAATCCTGTTGGATTTCTCGAAGCTGTTGGGACAAGGCTTTGTGGCCTGCCGTTTTCCCCTCCCATCTGACCTACTTGCCATAGCACAGATATTATTGGTAGTGTTGTTGTCCTTGAAAAGTGGGTAGCACGCATGAGATACCAGTCTAAGAAAAATAAGAAAGAAGATAGTATTTAGGAAAATGCCATAGTATCCTGTCTATACTCAGTTTTGCTGAACTGAATATTTGTGAGTTCTGCTGCTTATTTGCCTGCATAATTCTAAAAAGGCAACCAGCTACATAACACAGCAGCTTAATGATACTATAGTCTTCCCTCCTTTTAAAATTTTATTATGAGTTTTTAAGTCTTACTGTATTCATTTTTGATAAATAATTATATACTTGTTGAGTAATTTCCTAAAAATGAAAAGTATCCGACAATAAATCCAGATTAATATGAAGACAATAAATTTGATTGCCTATAGATTATTCTAAAATCTTAACTAACTTTTAGATTTAAGATAGTTTTTTTTTAATTTTGTTGACACTTTCATTAAGCTATTCTTTTTCTTAAGATTTCGTTGGATATATTTCTAGCTCTTGAAACTGTGGGGAAAACAATATAATGTTAGTTTATTCAAATTTATAGGGTAAAAACTTGTAAATTATTTAAAAAATTATACTATTGTTGGTATGTTTTGAAACTAAGCACACAAATTATTTGGTTTCAAAATCTTTGACTACAAACTTAACATTACTTTATTGAACAAAAGAAGTGGATAGTAAGGAAATAAACCGACATAAGTAGTTATATAAATATGCACACCAAAATGGCCATCAGCAAAGAACTACCAGCAACTAATGACTGCTGGCAGTGAAGACAGCCAGGGATGAACCCCCTAATTGGTTATTAAATATAATGTAGTCAGCCCTGAAACCAGACACAGGCAAACAACAAAACAGATTTAGCAGGTTATATTCATATATTTGTACATAAAATTGCACGCATACATATGCATGTTTGTAACAGAAATAATGAGTGAAATCATAAATTTGAGGGTTAAGGAACAAAAGAGGGGTTGAGCAGAGGGTCTACAGGAAGGAAAGGGGATGGGAGAACTCTGATATAATTCTATTTTTATTAGAAATGCATTCTTTTTTTAATATGTTAAATCTCTACAAATTAGGTAATGATATCTGAACTTAGGCCTTAAGCCATTAAGCAGGTTTAAGTGACATCATGAGAATGGGCCTCTTATGAACATGAATATTCTCCTCATAAAATTAGGAAGCAATTTCTCCAGTATATGGGGATCCTTTGAGAGGGAAAACATTTGCCATGCCCGAAAAGAGCCCTTCTGATGGACTGAAAACAGCCAGCATGTTGATCGTGACTTTGCAAGTTCCAGAACAAAATGTCTATTTTCTATGGCATATGTACCTATCAAAATTATGTGTATGTGTGTCCTATGTGTTTGCACATGCGTATGTATGCGTACATCTGTGATGGTGCTTCTGTACATAATTATACATATGGAGGAGAGATTGAGGCTCTTGTCTTCCTCTTTCACCCTCCTTCTCTTTTTTTAGGCCGTTTCTCACTGATCCTAGACCTCACGGATGGACTAGTCTGTCTGACCAGTGAGTCCCTGGGATATGCCTGTTTCTGAATTACTGGCACTGGTATTATAGGCTTGTAACACCATAACTGGCTTTTTATGCAGCCTATGATGCTTCTACTCGCCCATTTCCCACTGATCCATCATCATCATCATCAGTAAATCATCATTATAGCAATAATAATGATAATGATGATAATATGATGATATAAAAATAATTTCATACCTGAGTAATGGATTTACATCATTTCTACTACTTTTCCCATCTCCAAGTCTCCCAATATTTCTTCTCCCACATCCTCTTAAATTCCATTTAAGAGTCCATTTTGTGTTGCTCATAGGTACAAGAGCAATACAAAATGACAACTTTGGAGTCATCCTATCAGGGGGCTTATCTCTGGGAAAAAAATTATTCTCCCTCTTTCAGTAACCATTGACTGCAGCCCTTCAGTCTGTTATCTTTTAGGGGTGGGGACTTGGGATTTCCTTCCTCCATAGTGGTATGGTGCCTGATGTCTAACATACAAGATGCGGGTATTGTATAGATTTCATGGGTGTAACATCTCTGTTTTGTCCAGAAATGCTACCTCACAGTAGGCATCCTGGTCCTCCAGCTCTTAATCTCTCTGCCCCTTCTACTATGCTTTGCCCTGAGACTTAGGTGTAGGGAATTGCACTGTAGCTATAGCAATTGTTTCATTCTAAGCAAAAGTTAACCTGGCTGGAAGATAACAGTCCATGTCAGGCAAATTCAATTCATAACAACTTTTATTAGGTAAAATAAATGAAAAAATTAAAATATTAACTCCACATGACATGGCTCTCACTCATGGCTGCCAGGGGTCAGATGCCATGAAACAGCAGGCACATCAGATCTGTGTGGGAAAGAACAAATGGACCACCGTTTATACAACTGTCCATCAGCTACAGTTCCCATTGCTCTTCAATAACATTGTTTTACAGTAGACATGCGATGTTATATAGATTTGAGAAAATCTGAATAAGAAAACGCCAGTTTCCATTTTCCATCAAATAGGATGGAGGCTAATGAGTCGCAAAAACTCTGAATTGTTCATTTGTTTTATTTATTTTTTTTCTGCTTAATATGATTTTTTTCTGGTGTTATATATCCCTTAACCTGGATAATTAAATGGAATAACAGATTTGTCAGTGGCATTAGCCAGTGTTAATCCCTCTATGAAGACCCAATAAAACTATTTGACTCAGAGAAACAATAACAAATGCTTCTTTGAGTCTCCATATCAATTTAGCTGGAAATGCATGCCTTCTTCCAACACTATCTCCGGTGGCTGATAATATTAGCAGAACTTGGGTACCATATATATATATCCCAATTATATAATTTAAATATGGCATTTACTTATGATTATATAGAGATGGCTTATGTTTTAGAAGGTTTTTTGTAAAAAAAAAATGTATAAAAAATCTAAAAACCAGTCTTTATATTATCACTTAAAAAAAAACTCTCATAAGAATCCTAGAAATATGTGTTGGGCAGTTATTTACCCACGTTTTCTCAGGAACCACCAGGCCCTATCAATGCTTCCGCTGTTGCATCCATGACGGTTCTTGGCACAACAAGAGATCAAATTCTGAGGGGAGAGATTGGCTGTGTATCGACCCTTGGACTGAATTGCTATTCGGTCAGCTGCCACACCTGTTTCAGACAAAATACTGATTAATATTCAAATAACATGTCATGTTACGTTTTTGATACTTTTTTAACCCTCAACTAGTTTTGAAAACTGATACTGTTCCTGCAAATCATTGCTTAAACACTTTTCTAGTTCTGTATTCATGTGTAATATATATATATATATATATATATATATATATATATATATTTATATATATATATCCTTTTCATTAAGAAACCTGTCAATTATCTGAGTGAAGAAGACTTATGTACCAGATTTGTATAACTCTTGCATCTGGAACAGCATCTTCCCTAGAGTTACAGGTAAATCTGTGCTTTATACAAATGAAAATCAAGAAAGCTTATCACAGAAACATCAATTACAAATTAATCCATGAGTCTATATACTGCAGTAACCAAATCCATAATTTTTACATTGGCATCTAATGTAACTTCCTTGGAGGCCATACATTGAATAATTTATGGTGCTATAAGTCTACATTACACTATAGTTAAAATCATTATAGCATGCTTTTATATTCATAACATGATTCAAAATAATCATTTTTAATGGCCACACAGTTAATTCTGTATATACACATATAGATACATACACATATATATACATATACATTATACATACACATACATATACATATATAGGCAACTAGGTGAGTGTATTACTAGGTATGGTTATAAGAATCATTACTTTAATGTCTTTAAAAATTGTTAGCTGCATATAATGATACAAAATAAAATATATATAAAATATAAAAATATATGTAAAATATAAAAGTGTTAGTTGAATATAATGATTGTTTGAATGATAAATGTTTCCAGTATATGGGTATTTATTTCCCAGTTGGTTGCAGCATTAGGATAGGTTAAGGAAATATGGCTTTGATGGAGGAAATGTGTCATTAGGTGTGGGCTTCTTCCATTTGTGTTAATGTTATAATGCCATGACATTTAATATCATCATACTATTTTAAAATTTTTAAATGAAAAATAAATATATATTAACTGGTGAAGGCTAGAAAAGGAAAGAGGTAACATAGCTCTGCCTTCACAGAATAATAGAATGAGAAATGAATCAACAACAGCAGAAATCAATTTATGTCACCAGTGTGGCCGCACTTCAATAATAAAATAGTGTAAAAGGAAATTTTGAAAAATTATAGTGAGGGACATGTAGTAGGAAATTTTGCGATGGCAGAGACCTACCATCATTTCATTGTTCATGTTTCATAACAGGCCAATCTCAAATCAATCTTTATGTACTTTCAATTAAAGGCAGAAATATCAAGGCCTTTCTTTTATGCATTCTTTTTTTTCAGAGGGACTTAGATTTTATTTAATTTTTTTTCTCATCAAAGCTTCATGGGAATTGCCCTTGGTATCAATTTGGAGCTTTTTTTTTTTTCAAAGATAATTCACTTTAAAGTAATTCCTGAAGACATGCGTCTTTGTCTGCTTTCTACATGCCTGAAACATGTGTATCATTCTGCCATGTTTCATTAACAGTTTCCCCTTCATTCTTGACCCATTTATTTTTTTTAACAAGATACACTGTATTGATAAAATGGTAGTACCCTTTTGCCTCTGATATTTTCAAGAGAATAAATCGTTATTTTCTAGTGGAGAATAGATGTTCTTTAATTTTTTGATATTTGTTTTTATGAGTCAGGATCAAATATATTTTAAATGTTTGTATAAAATTTCATTCAGAATGATTTTAAAGTGAAGAAAAACAGTAGTGATGGACTTGGAAGCTTGAAGCTCAAGATAATTTCTGACACTACTTGTCTTTGCGAGTTAATTCATGTTCATGGGCTTCTTCCATAAAACTGGAGATAGCCAGAGGCTGCCCTGAGACTGTCTGTGGGGCCATGACCCAGGACACTAACACATACATCCCCTAGAGCAAAGCTAGCAGGCTGCTCTGCTTCTTACAGCTAAGAACATTACTTAAATGTCATTGTAAATACTGGTCTACCCTAGATTTAAAGAACCCGTATAATATAGGAGGTGTTTAGCCCATAAGCACAAATTAGTAAATGTGACAGTTGATTAAATCTTTATTCAACTATCTGAAACCGTGCTGAAAGGAGTCATGTATTCCTAATCGATGAGAGAGACACTCGAGAGACAACACTGGTGGTGATCAAGTGGACGGTAGTACAGAATAAAAAGACATAACTGATCCTGAGGTGTGCTATCCCAAGGCTCTGCTTAGTCCAGAGCACTGTTGAAGTAAGCTAGTTAATAGTAAGATGTAAAGGTACATGATGATTAATGGTTTTCTGTCCTAGAGAATGCCATTGCTGGAGGTGGCTTCCCCAAGAGTCAGGCCACGGCACTCATTTCATAGTGTTGACAGAGCTTTACACGGCTCCCAAATGCTCCTTTAGGACTGTATTAAAGCTCCAAGACACAGTTCTGTGAAGATGTCGATAGTATCCAGAAATTATCATGCTAGGTTCAATTTAATCGGGGGAAAGTCTTCAGGAATAATTTTGGAGATCGAATCTTGGGATTGACGTGAATATCTTATTTACTGGACATAAGAAACTTTATAAAAGCAGCTTTCAGAGAGATGGTTTTCATAGTCTGAAATTAACATTGACATTAATCTGGAAAACAATCTTAATAAAAGATGTTATTGCACTGTAAAGTTAGAACATATAGATTTATTTTGGATAAAAATGAGGTATAAAACTTTAACCCACTATGACCTAATTCTAAAGCTTAACTTTGCTTCAAAGTTTTTTTTTTTTAATAGTTATAGTTTTGTAAATCGTATAGAAAGAAAATAATGTAAAGAATCTGTGTGGGTTTATACATGAATACTAGCATTCTAGATGATGTTATGGTGAAAAGTAATCAATATTTTACTTCTCTTACTTTAGGTTTTTTTTTTTGTTTGGTTTTGGTTTTTCGTGTCTCAAGACAGGGTTTCTCAGTGTAGCCTTGGCTGTCGTTGGACTCACTATGTAGAACAGGCTAGCATCAAACTCACAAAGATCTGCCTGCCTCTGCCTTCCCAGAGTGCTGGGATTACAGGTGTGAGCCACCATGCTCGGCCAAAATTCTTCTGGTCCAAATTAAAAATCAAATGAATTCTTTGCTTCTCTATTCATTGTCTATATAAATTAGGCGTTAATATCCAAGTTTTAGATTAAAATGTTAACCTCTGAGTTCCTTTCTTTGGCTAGAATATTTTAACAGACTCTTAATATTTACATTTTCTACATTTATAAACTCCACATCTACTCTATAATGATCTAAAGACAAAAGCAGAAGTTTTGAGGAAGTGATTGAAATGATGTTATTACTTGCGGTGGAAAAAGCCCAGGACGCAGCACAGTTTTTTTGATCCAATGGACCATGAGTCCATCCAGGCCACTTATAAGAAGCAATGAAAACCTCAGGAAGATCAGCTCTGGGAGGAAAAGATGCCTAAGGGAAAGGGAGACAGACATATTAGATGTTCTCAAGTACATCCCCAAAGATGTGCACACACCCTCTTACAGTGCCTGTGATTTTGAATTATCTTAGGCATTCAGGTTTCAGAGGGAAGCATGACTACAAAGGAACTCTGTTCTGCTTGTGTTGAAAGTCAGCTGTCTGTGGCGAATCACAGCATGTACTGGATGCTGTGATTTTTTTCTGGTTACCAAATAGTGCAAGGACATTTCTACCAGTACTCTAGTCATCTGGAATCTTAGCTTGCGCGTTAGCATGAAAAAATACACGAGATAGTGAAAATCGGCCTTCATAAAGAATGTTGTTTCTCTTCTTTTTCAGAGCGTATATGACTGTTAAAGGAAGAAAATTTCAAGTCAAGGCATGTATGTCAAGTGCTTATTAACACAAGAAAATATTCAATTTTACATTATTCTGAGAAATAAAACTGAAATTATTTTGTTCATATTTATAAAATTCTTAAGGAAGACTATAAATTTTGTGTAATACCAAAGAGATAATACCATGATGTCATAAAACTCACATTAAATTCTTAACAAGGTCAGTTCTTGCTACTCTCTCAACATATCTACGTGAGATAATAAGAAGAAATATTGCAGTCTTCTTCAATAAATGAGGTAATGGCTTCTAAAAGCTAATGGATCTGTGAAAGACTCAGTTAAACAGGATTTTTTCCTTACACTAGACTGTTGGCTTAGAATTTGGTTGACATCATGCCCCATTATTGTCATGTCTACCAGATATATGTGGCTACTACACCTTGTGTCTGAAACTAATTGTCTATAAATGATAAAAATTCATTGATTTAATGGTTTTATGACGTCTGGTGAAACTACTGATCTGACATCTCACAGAAAATTATTTCTGACAATTACACAACAGATTCAGTGTCTGAGGCAAGTAAAATCAAAATGTACCTGTCTCCATGGAAAAGATACCCACCCAAAGAAGTTTTTAAATTAGAGCATGGATGAGAGAATTTACTTTAGCCCTAGAGAACTGTTACCACCCAATAAGAGAGTGAGAAATCCTGAGTCCATTTCAAAGGCGTTGCTACTTAGAAGAGTGAAGGAAGGACATAGAGCTGGTCACCACCAAATGCCTAAAAGATAAGGACCAGCAGCACACAGCTGAGGGGTCTGGAACCTCAATGCTGTCAGATGCGCTACATGGCAGGATATGAGTTGGAGCAACACAGACATAATGGCTGGAGAGGAATCGCCAAGGAGAAACAGACTCAAAAGCACCTTTCTAAATGGGAAACAGACACACATTGTACAAACACCATGCTTTCCCGGATCACTCTCGCCAGCTTCTCAGTGTGCGTTGAAGCATTTATCACATGGAGTGCCCTCAAACTTCAGCTGTTATTTTATGACTTTAAAATACATTTTTAGAGTAGAGTGAGGATACATCCTTCTGCCCTGCTGAAGCGATAAAGATCTATCATCGCTAGGACATTTTGGCAGGATTCAGTTGTGTGGACTCTAACTTCCACATTCATAAGATGATCAGACTCCTTTGCATATGTAAGGTAGCCTGATAATAATGAAAGTGTGTGTGTTGTGTGTGTGTGTGTGCGCGCGCGCGCGCTCACTCACCCATGCTCACACACACATGTGCAACTCAGGTGCATTTTATCTCTTAAAATATGAATTCCCCTTTAGGCATTTTAAACTATGGTAGCATTACATATTTGCTACTTCCATGATTTATTCTTTAAAACTAAAAGTCGCAAAAAAAAATATTTACCAACAAAATAAGCCAGAAGAATTCATGAAATCCATTTACTGGCATTTTAAAGATTTTTTTTTACCACTTATTTAATGTTGATTTTCTTTAAATAATGGCCTCCATGACTTGAAGCATGTCAGAGAAACTACCTTCAATTTTGTTTCTATCATACTAGTAAGTGATTTAAGTAAGGAACACAAAGAAATCCCATAAACACTGTGTTCCCCTAGAAATGAAGAATGATTTTGAAAGCCAATAAGTAAAAGTAGTATCACAGAATAATAACTTCTAGAAAATGGTTAAATAATGCTGCCTTTAATAAATGATGCATTTTCATTAATTACTTTGATGAAATATAACCTAATAACTGAAAGATTCTGGAGGACAACCTAAAAGTGGCAGAAATTGCAAGTGTGGTATCTTCTATGAAATACAAATTTGTCTTCAAACAGAATATACACTCTTCCATAGGGGACTTTGAAACTCATTATATTGTTATGCTAAAAAAATCAATAATAATTTGATGTGTAATTTCCAAGCCAACATTACCCAATTTGAGACTAAATTTAAACAGTCTCCCTATTTCAACATTTTTATCTGGAAAAAAAATAAAGATAATGTAGACAAATACCCAAATCCACAGCTGTTCTAATCACCAGAGACTTAGTTACATTAAACTTTGCTTTTAATTAGATGATGGGAAATGGGCGGGCAATCACCGAGAAGCTTGAGACACACTCATTTTCTCAGAAACATCATTAGAAGCTCTATTTCCTGTTACTATTGAGTCTCTACCTCCAGGACACACGCTGGATCACCCCTCTTATCTCCACCTTCGCCTTCTCACCCATTTTAATCAGAAACATCTAAAAGTCAAATAATGAAACTGAGAAAACTTAAGTCCATTCAAACATTTCATAGCTCCAGATGAAGGGTGAAGAGTGTCAAGACATTTCTCAGGATTGTTTCATCCCAGTGAGGAAAAGGATGTTTTTTTCTGGTGGTCAAGCGATAGGTAAATACTTCTCATCCTCAACAAGAGTTAACTTTGTGTATTGGCATTGGAAATCCTTTGATACTTCTCTGGTGTCTCATGCTGGGTGCCTAGTGCCAGCTCTTCTCCAGCCCTAGTCTTTATTCATACCCATAGAATGCTTATCACAGCACACACAGGCCTAGGAAAGTAACTGCTTTGGCCAGACTTCAGATGCTGCTGTTACTGTTTCCAGGATAATACACATAAGTGTCACATGGTAGTGTCTGATAATTTCCTTTAAAGCGCGACTCGCTTTCCTACTTCCCCTGCTTTATTCTGCTACCAGGAATTGGGTCTTACAGACAGGCCTAGAAGAGACTCCTTGAGCTGTTATCCAACAGTGGAAAAGAAGGAGCAAGTAAAGAAGGAACAACAGTACAGATGGCAGCTTGGGTCTAGGACCCTCCTGCTTTGTGGCTTTGCTTGCTCCTTTCGGAGCTGGGGAGTGATTTTTGCCATTCTTATGCCACTGTCATTTTTTGGTTTGTCACTCACAGTTGAGCCTTATGCTTAGTGAAGAATAAAGAACTGTCATTGAAATTTCTAGGTCAATGCTGTATTTCATTGAACAAAGAACATGAAATGTGAGAAAGCTCCCCAGTTTCAAAGGTACTAAAAACCTTAGAAAAATGCATATGAAAATAAATTAATATATCCTAAATGGTTTACCTAGAACACTAGTTTGAAGAAAGTCTAACAGGTAATTTAAAGGGGAGTTTATTTATTTAAACAGTTTCAAAGAACCATTTTTAATTAAATCGGCTTATATTTTCCCCACATTATTTTAGCAAATGCTAATGTATGTGAGGCTCGAAAAATTAAAAATAATATTCATAGTTTTAAAGGCTTATCATTTGGCTCAATTTGCAAACTGTTTCATTCTGTTTCATTTCCTGTTTCATGCTGATGATAAAGCAAAGAACTGGTGTCTTATGTGGCAGATTTGGGGAAGAAATACGAATAGGAAAGAGAGACCGTGGTATTAGAAAGCCAGCTGGTGGGTATATGGTACATGAGCACCTCAGATTACTCCAGAAATCTACGTTTTTACAGCCCTTGTAACGATCTATCTGTGATGATCGGTTAGGTCCGTGCACCAGTGTAACTGTGCCCAGTTACCCGTCACAGCACTGTGCACACGATCGTGGCTACAACTGTAAGAACCTTAACAAACCCCCTTTTGTAAGAGGGCTGGGAACAAGAAGGGAAACGGGGTGGGGAGGCATCCCTTTGTCAAGCTGGAGGCCTGTGATAGGGTAGGATCTTGGGAGGATATGGGTGTGACTCTAGCTGAGACTGCCAACCTTGGAGGACAGGAAGACTGAAGTGACCACTGCCTAGCCAAGCAGGACTAGTGGAGAGAGAGGAGTAACCCACCAACAAAACCTTTGATCCAAAAATTACCCTGTCTATAAGAAGTGCAGGGATAAAAAGGGAACAGAGGTTGAGGGGAAGTCCAACCAATAATCGTTCCAAACTGAGAACCGCCCAGCAAAGAGCCAGCCCTCGACACTATTAATGATGCTCTGCTATGCTTGCAGACAGGAGCCCTACTTGACTATCCTCTGGGAGGCTCCAGCCAGCAGCAAAACTAGATAGTTGCTGGGACTTGCAGCCAAACATAGGGCAGAGCTCAAGGCGTCCTGTGGAAGTGTTGGGAGAAACATGGAAGGATCTGGAGGGGACAGGGACCTCCCAAGAAGACCAACAGAGGCGACTAATCCAGTCCCATGGGGGCTTACAGAGACTGAGACTCAACTAAAGAGCAGGGATGGTCTGGACCTAGGCACCCTGCACACATATGGCCAATGGGCAGCTTACTCTTCATATGGGGCACCTGGAGAATGCAGGGAGGATGGCTGTTTCTAACATGGATTCTTATTGTCTGCTTTTGGATCTCCCTGGCAGCGCTGCCTTGCCTGGTCTCAGGGAGTGGATTTATGCTCAATCCTGATGTGACTTGATGTGCTGGGGAGGGTTGATACGGGGGGGGGCTCTTATTTTCTGGGGGGAAAGGGAGAGGAGAGGGGAAAAGAGGTGAAGGTGGGACTGGAAGGAGAGGAGAGAGGGGACACCCTTGGGATGTGAAGTAAAGAAACTGAAAAGAAGAAGAAGAAGAAGAAGAAGAAGAAGAAGAAGAAGAAGAAGAAGAAGAAGAAGAAGAAGAAGAAGAAGAAGAAGAAGAAGAAGAAGAAGAAGCTGC